TTTTATAACTTATTGAGATTTAACTAATATATTTTGGAAATAATGATTTATAAATTTTGGAAATTTTATTTCCAGGTTTATAAATGTTTAAAATAATTACTGGAAGTTGAAATTTAATTTTCATGATTTTTGCAAAATTGTTTCAAAATTTTAATGGCCTTTTTTAATATAATTTTGCAAAAGGGCATTTTGGTCATTTGAAATATTTTGGAATTTTTTTTATGCTGGCCAAATATCGAGATTATATAAAATGATTGTATAAAATTTTATTTGATTTATTTGGACATCTAATTTAATTTTATGAGTTTTAGAAAATATTTACTACCGTAGTATTTTTCTAGAACTGTCTAGGGTGAGCGCGGTTCACCCGGTGTATGTATATCTCTATTGCTTGTGTGGATGTATGATATGCATGGTGGATGATTGTGGCTATAGTTTATTTGATTATAATACGGCCTGCGTGTCGTGCCTTATCTCATAAACTCTTGTTGTAAATCTATTTCTCTCTCTTACCTCAACCGAGGATTCTTTTCTCACGTGGTGGTTAGAAGACGAAAAGATTTGAAGATCGTTTGAAGAAATCTAAAAGAATGGAGATATCCCAAATTCTAAGTGCCCGGAAGCCAGTGGGAGCTATTGTTTTATTTTTTTTAGGGGCCACAATCATTACACGTTTATTTACTGCGTTTTGTGAATGCATGTTGAATGTATGTTGAACGCTAGTAATGGACATGTGCGCGGCCATGTCGATAGGTGAGATCGAAATTATAAATCTCTCACGAATATTAAGTCTGTTGCCTTCTGACGCCCGACACCTATCCGGCTAATATGCACTGTCATGTACTGAGCCTCAGCAGAGCATAGTACGATGTATGTTAAGCTGGTTACGGGAACCGCCATAGCGTGGTCGCTGTCGCACGTTGGGTTAGACTTAACTGAGTCTCGGTCAAATGAATGGACGACTCATAGGCAGTAAGTTGGGGTCATCAATGACAAGTCAGATGATTTTACTCACCCATCTAGCCAGGAGTTGGATCTTTATGATTTAATTGGAACTCTGTTCCTCACCAAAGTAGTCTGCTTGTAAGACGTGCCTCAGCCAATTACAAGTACGGTGAAAAGGTGTCCTGGTCCGGTTGTAGTAATATTGTTCGCCCAACACCAGACCAAGAGCTGAGAGCCCGGCTCATCAGTTGGAACTATGTTCCTACCAAAATAGTTGTCTTGTGGAGTAACGCCCAAGCGGAACGCAAGATAATGAAATATGGATCTTGGCCCACTAGAGGTTTCGCCGGAAATCTCCGAATCAATATCGAGGGTTATTGATTTGTTAAAAATAGTGGGAGATAATTAATTAAAGGCCTAATTAATTATTAAACATGATAGATAACCTAGTTTGCAAAATTTTCTGTAGATGGCAAACAACAACAACCCTTTCAACCTGCGATATGTTCTAGAAAAGGAAAAATTATCTGGAACCAACTTTCTTGATTGGGAGATGAATCTTAAGATTGTTCTCGAATGCGAGAAAAAGCTCTACGTCCTTACCTCTCAGCCTCCCAAAGCACCTGAAGCGAACGCCCGTGCTGCAGAAATTACTTCGTACAAGAAGTATGAAGACGATGCACGTGATGTGAGATGTCTCATGCTAGCCACCATGACCCCGGAGCTCCAAAGGCTCCATAAGGACATGGAAGCTAATCCTATGATGACTCGCTTGAAAGGTCTATACCAAGGCCAGGCTAGACATGAGCGTTTCAAAATCTCTGCGACTCTGTTTTCCAGTAAGCTGGCAACGGGTAACCCAGTTGGTCCCCATGTTTTCAAGATGATCGGTCAGATCGAAACTCTTAAAAAACTGGAGGCCCCGTTGCACCCTATGCTGGCAACTGATCTCATCTTGGGATCATTACCAGCTGAGTATAGTCAAACTGTAGTGAACTTCTACATGAACAAACTAGAGATGACTATGCCTGAGCTATTGAAATTCCTCACAACTGCTGAGGAGAGTCTAGGGAAGGGCAAGGGTAAGTCTGTCCTGATGGTAGAGGGCAGTACTATTGCGAAGAAGAGTGGGCCACGTTCGCCGGCCGGGACCAAGCGCAAGGGTTCTAAGAAACCCAAGCCAGCATCCAAATCCTCTTCGTTGAAACCCAAAGAAGGAGCTAAGAAGAAGTCTGATGTATGCTATTATTGTGGCAAAAAGGGCCACTGCAGGCGCAATTGCGCAAAATTACTGGTAGAGAGGAAAGAGGGAAAGAAACCTCAAACCTCAGGTATCTTCGTTATTGAAGTCAATATGTCTGATATCACCTCTTGGGTGATGGATACTGGATGTGGTTCTCACATCTGTACTTCTATGCAGGATCTGCATGAACGTAGACAATTGACAGAGGGAGAGATACAACTAAAAGTGGGCAATGGCGCACTCGTAAATGCATTAGCCGTCGGAACCTATAGTTTATCTCTACCTAGTGGTCTTGTATTGCAGTTAAATAATTGTCTGTTTGTACCCAGTATGAGCAGAAACATCATTTCTATATCCTGCCTTGACAAAGCAGGATTTTCGTTCGTTGTAAAAGACAAAACTCTTTTTGTCTTTAGAAACGAAATATTTTATTCAACTGCAAAAATGACCAACGGTCTCTATGTCCTCGACATGGATACCGCAGTATATAACGTAGATGTTAAGAGAAACAAACCTAACAGTTTGAATCTCACGTACCTTTGGCATTGTCGTTTGGGCCACATTAACGAGAAACCCATATCTAAGTTATATCGTTCCGGTGTACTTGATTCATTTGACTTCCAGTCATATGATGTATGTAAATCTTGTTTACTTGGTAAAATGACAAAGGCTCCATTCACCGGTCACAGTGAAAGGGCGAGTGACTTATTGGGCCTCATACACTCCGATGTCTGTGGTCCAATTAGCACTGTAGCTAGAGGTGGTTATTCTTACTTCGTTACATTTACTGACGACCTTAGTAGATATGGATATGTGTATCTCATGAAACACAAATCGGAATGCTTTGACAAATTCAAAGAATTCAAGAATGAAGTAGAAAAACAATTAGGCAAAAGTATTAAGACCCTCCGCTCGGATCGAGGAGGTGAATACTTAAGCCTGGAGTTCGATGACTATCTGAAAGAGCATGGGATCTTATCCCAACTCACTCCTCCAGGGACACCTCAGTTAAATGGAGTGTCTGAGAGGAGAAATCGGACTTAGCTAGACATGGTCCGGAGCATGATTAGTCTGACAACATTGCCAGAATCATTTTGGGGATATGCATTGAAAACAGCAGCGCACACACTCAACAAAGTTCCATCTAAAGCTGTCGAGAGCACACCATACGAACTATGGCGTAGGAGAAAACCGAGTTTCTCGTACTTTAAGATTTGGGGCTGTGAAGCTTATGTAAAACGTCTCATGACGTCTAGTAAGTTAGAGCCTAAATCTGATAAAGTAATTTTTGTGGGATACCCCAAGGAAACTAGAGGGTATGAGTTCTATCATCCATCCGATAACAAAATTTTCGTTGCTCGGAATGGAACTTTCCTTGAGAAGGAGTTTCTTTCTGCTATCACTAGTGGGAGAAAGGTAGACCTCGAAGATATTCGAGAACCACAAGAAGAAGTCCCGATAGTGTTGGAACCTGAGCAAAGAGATCAAGCAATTGAACCTCAAATTGCTCAAGATATACCACGTAGGTCAGACCGGATACGTAATCCTCCGGTCAGATATGGATTTCTCATGTCTGATGAAGGTGACGTCTTGTTGGTAGATCAAGGCGAACCAGAGACCTACCTCGAGGCAATTACATGCCCCGAATCC